TGCACTTTTGCAGTTTTTTAAATATAGCACGAAAACGAAGCAAATTTCGGTAAGGGACAGAGAGACCACAGGACAGAGAGACCATAGGACAGAGACAAATTGTAAGCTGTGGTTATACAAATTTTATATGCCTAAACAATTAAATTTAGGGAGCAAGTTGGAAACAATATCTCTTCACTGTATTAGTTCTACAAGTTTTCTTTAGAGTATAAGACAACTGACAATACATTCAAAATAAGGGAAAAACATTTGTTTACCTTGTATGTTTATCTTATGTTTCCTGAATTTTGCACGCCTGTGCAACATACAGAAGATCGCGTACATTACTATAATAGTATATTACGTAATAAGTGTTGTAAAAAGCATTTTACGTACTAATGAAAAGTTACGAACGACGTCGCGTAGCGGCGAGTGCGTAATTCTATGAGTGCGTAATTGCATTACACCACGTATTACGTACTATACTTTACCTACGACCTACTTATTCACACAAAATCATTTAGTTTTATTTCTCCATCTGAACTGGTAACAATATCAATAATTTAATCATTTAAGAACTTGATAACATCAAGAAGGTATATAATGTAATAATTCTATAGTAGTGCATTAATGACAGAATATGATTATTTAAATTTACAAATTTTTATTTTTTATTATATTATTTATGCTTATTATAATAATTATATATAGTTACAGAACAATTATTGAAGACAAGAGGTATATCGGGTGTTTTATTACTTGTTGAAGCGTAAGTAGGATTTTCATTATTAGTTGCCTCAATGAAATTTTCATTAATACTTTAGTANAAAAATCAAAAAGGGCAGTTCGAAAATGATTTAAAAATACACTTCTGCACAGCACTGGAAACTGATCCAATGTAAAACTCCAATGCGACTGTTACAGCGGCAGTGATAAAAACGGACAAAAACTTGAAATAATTTCGCAAGGAAAGGAATAAGTTGAATTTTATAGCACCTATCAGTAAATTGTGTTGAGGGTGTGAAGTATGTCGGAGTTGTAAATAGTTAGAGGTGTGGGGACGGGTTGTGGAAAGGGTGTTTTGGATTTGGATGCAGAATTTTCGGTTGCGGAGGTAGTGAGTTTGACAAAGGATACGGGCTAGTTGTTGACGAGCATTTTCATCAGTATCGAAGGTTTTTGCGACTCCAGGAAGAACAGCTCCAGTGAACTGCCTCCTCTTGAAGGCCCCCGTGACATGCTAGGTGAGGCGTAGGATTTGGAGTTCGGTGGAGTGGTTAGGGCGAAAGGCAAACTGTTCGTCAGGAATGACTCTCAGTTCTTCGGAGTGGGTTTTTATGTGGGAGATGATTATTTTTTCTACCACTTTGCTCATAGCCGGGAGTAGGCTGATGGGCCGGTAGTTAGAAGGGATGTCATTGTCAGGTTCTCTATTGACGCGTTGGGCTGCGCGCTCAGCCGCCTCTTCGAAATTCCCGTCGTCGTCCAGCAGCTGGGGTAGTCTACACTGCAGTTCCATGCCATCGGCGAAAGTCGACCTTTTCCTGGTTCGTGTAAACTACCCCCCCCTGCTGCCGTACATTGGTGGTAGTTTGCGTTTGGCGGGCAGTCGCAGGGCCCTCTACGTTTTCCAGAAGCTGTTGTCTTGTGTGTCCAGCGACTCAAGTGTCTGGACACAGAATATCCTAACTACACAGAAACGACAAAGTGGTTTCCCGCGTAAGTCGATTTCCAGTGCGCATGTGCTAAAATCGCCATGGAAACATGTTAGATGCGTTTTGTTGGATTGAATTATGCAGAATGGGCGTTTTATTGCAAGGATATTTTGAATCCGGTTGCAACTTTTGCTTCTGTGGTTTGAGACGGAATTATTAGAATTAAGTGGTGGGGAGATCAAATTTGTGAGGTTACGTTGGTAGCTGGTGAAATGTAATTCTAAAGAATCCAATAAATCTGGGATTGATGCAACAAAACGCACCTGTTGTTCCGTCAAAGAACCAAGCTTTGCTGTTTTCACCACCTCTCCCCCCTGCCCGCTAACCTTTTCTGTTTCAGAGACAGCCAGGATCAAGAAACGAAGACAACGACACACACACACACATACACACCCCCATACCCTCCTTACCCCTCCCCTCCCGCGCTGGGCTAAGGGCCATTTTAGCAAAGCGCATCCCAGGCTGCATAGCCGCACTACCCTACCCAACCATACCACACATAAACATGACACTACCCCCGCCCTAGCCGGCGGCGCCCAGCCAGGACAAAAGGAGGTCCCACAAAGCGCCTACACCGGCCGCATTTGCGGTCGGGGTAGACGACGGATGGGGCCCACCTACGAAGGCTGTCCAGGCCTACACGAGAGGAGGCAGGATAAAGAGGGATAATCCCCCTCGATCCCAAATCATTGAGGCCAATTTCTAGCCATGGAATAATGGCGCGGCGCGCGCTATTTTCTTTTAATCATGATTTCGGAATCATAACGCGTTACGATCCGAAATCTAGCGATCTGATTAGTTTCCATCGGATCGTAACACGTTATGATTCCAAAATCATGAGTAAAAGAAAAGGGCTCTTATTTAGGCAATTGTTAATTCAATATTCAATCCAACCTCATTTTTGTGTATTTATTATTAGTATGTATTTATTCTAGACTTAGTGTGAATGATTAGTTTTAGTAACTATTTAAATAGACATAATATTTGTGATGTATCGTCGAGGGGATTATCATTGTATTTGTCGAGGGTGCCCATCCAAAACTGGTAGAGGACTAAGCTTCTTTCCATTCCCGAAGACTAAAGCAGGTAATATAATAATTAGCTATGTATTACAAAATTTGAAATATATTGAATGTATACTAGAATTATTAAGTATATGTTTTGATAATTAATAAAAATCTAAATTTGTGAACATTGAACCTAAATAGTATTGAATGAAATAAACTAAACAATTTTCTTTTAGAGTTTCAGCATGGTTGAGAGCGTGCAATAGAGAGGATCTTCTCGAGAAAAATCCAGAGACACATAATTATCGACTTTGCGAGCTACATTTTGAACAAAAATATTTGTTCAAAGGTGGATTTCGGAAAACTTTATTTGTTATCTTTGTATAAAATGTTACAAATACAGGGTGGTCCATAAGTAATAGCCCATAGAGAAATTCTGGATTCTTTACTTTTAAGATTTTTTAATAATAAAAGCTCGTTACTTAAAAGCTTTACGTTACCCGTAAAAAAAGTTACGCTCACATTTACGTCACACACATGGCTTATGTGGTGCCCTCTAGAAAATACATCGAAATAAATAACAGATGATCTCTCGTACCAAAAACATTTACGCCAAAAATTTTTACATTCTTATATTCAATAACATAATCATTACCAAAATTTAATTTTTAACTTCGACACCCTGTATCTTTTTTATTATCAACATTTTATTAAGAAATGTTGGCTCCAATCGTATTATTTTGAAGTAAAGAATCTTAGTATTTCTATATGGGCCATTACTTATGAATAGTAAATAATATTGTGTATTTAATATTAAAAAATAAATATATATTTTTTTTGTGGTATTTGGATTTATTTATAACTATATCCCATCTACACGAAATTTTTAATTATAGTAGTAACAGACGCGTATCGTGTAAATCAAATTAGCTTTTTTTTAATTAAGCATAAAATCATGCCTTACATCGACAACCAATGTAATATAATTATTTATGTCCAACTGATTGTTTTATACCACAAGCTATTGAAAATTGTACTGGAATTATGGATTATATTATTCAATCATATAAAAATGTAAAGGCTTAATATCTCAAAGTAAATTTTATAAACTGTTTTTTCAGTGTATCTCTGATAACCTTTCTCTCAGTGTAACATGTTGTTCACCACCGTTCAAGGTCGAATATTTTCACCACGCCAACATCAAAGGAGCCGCCGTTTATGTCGCTTCTGTGTAGTTAGGAATGTTAGGATATTCTGTGTTTGGACGAACATAGCCCTACGCACGGCCTCGCCCTGGTGCGTAAGAAACGCAGACATTCTACGCTACATGAACGTCACTCAGACAACAAGAATAAACGCCGAAAAGCGCTTTGACGCGGCCGTGAGACATGACAATCCCCTCCTCAGACAAGCTGTTGCATGACTATATACCAACGCGGCAGACAAACACTATAACGATTTAGACACCAAGTCTTCTACCCCGAATAATAACCCAAATACACAATCTAACAGGAACAGACAGGACCAAGAATGTATGAGGAGGCAAAAAACAAAAACCTGTCCCCGCGGAACAACTTCGCTACCTACCTTAACATACACTTTCCCGCACCAGTCCAACAAGTCATTTTGGCTCGATGGCCACGTGCATCCTTAGCTAAAACGCTACTCCCAAAAAAACACTCCAAGGGCGCGAATGGCACTGTTACACGCGCCCGCGACAACCTCTCGGGGAGTTAGACAAACCGGCAGAAGAGAAAAAGCGCCCTCATCGGCCACGCTTTTGGACGAGGTCGATGACAGACATCATCACGAGGATGTCTATACAGCGATGAAACAGGACAAAGAAGGATTATCCTGCTCGGTCCTAAATCATTTAGGCCACCAACATCTCTAAAAATTGTCACGCGCGCGACGTTTTAAATGCAGCTACTTTACTAACCTCCAGTACATCAGCGCTATAACGGCGGCTCCTAAAACTTTGATTTGGATCATCATAAGAGATCAGAATTTGTCTCTTTTCAGTAATAAGACTAATAAATCTATTCTATTATCTATGTTGATAAGGGTCTTCACTTCTTGTCTACACTCATAATCCATATCCAATAAACCAATATCCATACCATAATCTGTAATTATAAGACTGAAGAGGGGATGAGACGACGTGTATTGTGTATTTCATAATATAATATAGTCTAATCCACATTTATTATTTTGTTAATTGTTTACTCCTTTTCAATTAAAATAATAGAAATGAATTCGGAAACTACACCGTGAGTCACTGATTATTTTTATTATTAAATTGTTTTAATTTAGGTACTTTTTCATGCACATGTACAGTATGTGCAATAAAAATACATCTTGAAAATTTCTTTTATAATCATTTCTTTAATAATTTTGATATATCAATGCGTAGTATTTTATACAAAAAATATAACCTCTATCAAAATAACACATATGTACACCGAGGAAACAAAATGAATATTCCCGTTATAAACAGGATTATTTTCAGGAGAATATCTACCTCGATTTATAAGAGTTTAAGGTAATTTATTTTAGATGACTTGCAAATTAACTTTTTTTATCATTTGTAGTAAGGTAAATTAGAAAATTATTTTAAACATTTCAATTAATCAGTATTTTCATGTCAATTAGCTCTTCGTCGGGTGCACTTGAACTATTACCTGATTGCGAATGCAAATTTTATTGAATGTTTATGCACTATATACATATCTGGTGTTACGTGTCAAAGTATTCTCTAATTATAATGTCCCGACTCGACAATTGTAAGTGGTTCGTCATATTGAGTACTGTTCTTAGAACGACACATTAAAGCTTACAGATTCATTGCTTCTAAACCCCAATATTTTCCAGAAACTATTGAAAATTATTTTACGAAAATTGTTTCAGTTATTTTAAAAATTAATTTGTTTTTTTTTTATACTTAATATAGCAATTACTTTTTCCATATCTATGAGATCATGAGATTCATTACCTCCAATCAAGTTATATTTTTCTGCCGTACATACATTTAAAAATGGATAACTTTTGACAAAAGTTTCAACCATATGACTCCAAAGACAGAATTAAAGAAACATGGTCTTCACGTGTAATGATGATAATAATAAATTTGAAGTACAAAAGAAAGTGATATAATAGACGGTGATGGTTCCATTGAAAAATGAGATCAACAGTATGAAATTGTTAAGAGGCATTTTCAGTAATTGATGGTACTGATAATGACAATGATTTTTACGACGGCAAAGATGAAATATTCGGACCATATAAAAAGCATTCCACAAAATATATATAGGCCATGTTCTTTTAATCCTCGTTTTAATGCGATGAATTTCATCGATGTATTACTATTGGCCTGTTTAAAAAATTCTAATCTCTTATTGGTTCTATGGAATCGCATCACATCCAAATGATGAGTAAAAGAACACGGCCATACTACCTGTCATTAGACCTGCAAGACTCTGTTCTCGAATACTAGGAATGTTTGATAAGTAATGAAATGTTGGAGAAAATTGTTACACACCAGTCAGCACATATTGAAGCTGTTTGGCTTCAATACGCATGTAGAAAGTTCAAAAATTTGCAGACATTATTGAATTCAGAGCGTTTATTGGCCTGACCAGTAATAGGAAAAATTTAGAAGAATTATGGGGAACTGATGGCTCTAGAGTTGAAATATTTCGTAAAAGTTAAATTAAATGATTTAAGTTTTTATAGCACTAGATCCATTTAGATGATAAAACAACTCACGAAGAACTGGATACACCATTTTCAGGAAAAACTTATTTTGTGCTGTCCTAGACATCCCATCTTAAGTTTCTGTTTTTTTACGTTTAGAAGTAAATGCTACTAAAAAAGTTGTAACTATCAGCTAGAAGTGTATAATTATATAAAATTTTTGTACAGAATGTCTTTAAAGATCATGATGAACAAAACTTTAAAAAAAAATTTAAATGGAACACCCTGCATATTATATGATATTTTATAGGTCTATCTCTAATGGTAAGGAAGATATCACCATATTACACTTTTGGCATGCTGTAACAGCAATATGTTTCTTATTATTAGAGTTTTTTTAAGTTTAAAATTTTGCATTTTACGGATATGAAATGAAAACATTTTTTACAGTAAAATGTTTGAGGGTTCAAAAATAGTAACTTTTTTATATTATTTCGAGATATGAAAAACTAAGTTTAATTTTTTAACATTAACACTGGAAATTGAAGTGTTTACTCACAGATCTGTGTAATATGAAGTACCCCAGCTAATTTTCATTCTAGAATCTAGTAGTAAAATCCTAGTACCGTGAAAATTGCAAAAAGTTAGTTTTTAGGTAGTGTTCGTTAACTTCATATAGCGAATCACCCCTAATAAAAAAATAAGTGGTAAAAAAATTATCACCATCTTATGGCAAATTTACAGCTAATTCTTGTGTAGTCGATTGCAAAAAGAAAAAGATGTGTAATACTAAAAACAAGTATTATTAAAGTACAGAAATCTTGTAAACAATTTTTATGCAACAATTTGTGAAAACTTGTAAATTCAAATTTGAAGAGTATGATGTTGACATAGATTCTGACTAGTCTTTTTACACATTCATTTTAGCATTTTCTCATTTTCATTTTATTTCTTTCATAAGATTTTCTTTCTTATGTTTAGCTTTTAAACACTGAAATTTTTTATGTAGATTTCTTAAAAAAATCATTCTATTTTTGTCTGTGAGGTGGATATCTTTAGCACACATCGATTTCTGGTATTGAAGAACATTGTTTAACTTCATTTCATAAGAGTTATTAAAAATAATTTTTTGGATTTGTTTAAATTATCCTAATACATTCAAAATAGAGTAAAAGAATATGTAGAGTTAAGGAATATACTGTCTTGATTTTGAAATAAAGTAGCTGTTATTACTAAAAAAATGCATTTTTTTATTTCAATCTAATAAAGTAAGGATTTTTTGCATCCATTTGCAATTTGCAAATTTTTGAAAAGCCAACTTTAGGCTTAAATCCGTTTGCAAACTGCAAATTTTTTAAAAGCCAACTTTAAGTATTGATCTCTTGGACTTTTATTCATTTTATAAGAACGACGTACAGCTGACACACTGCGTCCTTGTCTGATGAACGGTGTGGTGCTATACTTTTCTCTTTCACTTATCTATTTTTAACAGTTAACAACCCCTATTTGCGGCCACTTTTATATAGGCAACCATATTCCATTGTGTACAGAAAAAAATTAGCTTTAATTTGATATATAATAACGTTTTAAACGTATAAATTTAACAGAGTAATACCTGTCTGCACCTCGTTGTGAAGAGGTAGCGGTTAAGTGAGCAATGGCAACCCAAACTTTTTAAGTTCTTTACTCATCTCTGCGAAATTCTATGGAAAAAATTAATTTAATTTTAATTAAAAATACTTGTGGCCATATTGATATGGCAACTGGGCAGAAACATATTCCTCTATTCATAATTATCTATAAAAATAGCATTTCGATTAAAAACCAGATGAACGTAGTAATCTCGCAGTCAGATCTTAGACGTATACCTTAACAACATCTCTTAATGATAATTAAACAAATTGTCAAAAAATTGAGGTGCTTGATTATTAAATTTTTTTGTATGTATAATAAAAAAAATAGTATATTTCTTAAGAGTTTAAGAACATCTTGGAAATTTTGTAAAACATAAAAAATGAGTTCCTCCTTTGGACACAGTCGTGCAATACACTCTATGTATCTACTACTTAAAACTGTAGACAGTGGAGATCTCAGTCAACCCAAAATGTCAATTAGATCAATTTATTCGAAAATACATTATTTTTATGTATTTACCAAGCAACTGCATTATTATTGTTATACATAATTTTATCTGCAAATTTTAGATCAAACTGTAAAATAATCGATGGAAAGAAAATATCTCAGGATATCCAGAAAACATTATCTATTGATATTGAAGAATGGGTAAAAAGAGGACATAGAGCTCCATGTCTAATAGCAATTTTAGTTGGAGAGGACCCGGCAAGTCAGAAATATGTAGAAAATAAAATGGTTGCTGCAAAAAATGTCGGTATGTTAAATATTTCTATATATGTATAATATCTGTAGGATTATTGCCAGAAGAGGAAAAACTTTAATTTTTTGTCATTTAAAATTTTCATAAATTAATTTAAAATGTTTGCTTGTCGTATTACCTAGAAAACTTTAGATTTTTTTTGTACCTACAGGATGTTCAAAAATAATGTGAAATAGTTGAAGTGTGAAGTGGCTTTATTGTTAATTTTTCAAAAAAATTCACATCAAAAACCTGTTTACGGCTAAAAATTTCAGATTTGACCTTTACATTAATAATTGTATTTTTTATATAATACAGGGTGATTCATAAACAGTGACCAAAAATGGAACCTCGTATTCCTTGGTGAATTTTAAGGGGAGTCTTTTGTATAAAATTTTTACTTAGGACGCTTCGTTAAAAAGATACAGGTTGTTAAACTTAAAAAAATATTTTTAATTTCTTTAAATAATTTTGAAACTAGCAAGTGAAATAACTTGAAATGGGGTACATGTATTTATGTAAATATTGTCACAAAATCTTCCTAAAATTTAGATGCTCCAGTGGCGGAGATACAAGGTATCGGTGGAATATTTTTCTAAATAAAATAGTATGCCACTGCTTTATGGTAACAATCATGATATTTCCAGATTCATTTTTCCATTTCCTACTACTCTCTTATGTTTTTAGAAAAACACTTGATTTTCGAGTAAAACTTCAAAAACAAACTGAAAACACACTTCGATATTCGAATAAAATTCGGTTTAAAATTTCATAGTAGGTTGCGATAGCAACTTTGACATTCTGAGCATTTAGAAGAAAGAATGGAATGCTTTTCATCAGATTCAAGCAAAATTTGGAACAAATTACATTTTCGTTACTAAAAAGATGTCGCGCATGTGTTCATAGAAATGGAGGTATGTTTAAGCATTTACTCAAATATAATCATTAAAATAGACTAATGTTATTAATCTTTATTCAAATAAATAACCGAATGATTAGTGTTTGTCATGTCATTTAAGTACAAGTGTTTTCAGTTTGTTTTTTAAGTTTTACTCGAAAATCAGGCATTTTTCGAAAAACATAAGACAATCTGTAGAAAATTGAAAGACGTATCGGAAAATATCATAATTGTTAATGTAAAATAGTGGCGTACTATTTTATTTAGAAAAATATGCCACCGATACTCTGTACCTCCGCCACTGAAGTATCAAAATTTTAAAAAAGGCCTCTGATTTTGGACAATGTTTACATGCATACATGTGACCAATTTTAAATTATTTCACTTACTAGTTTTTAAATTATTTAAAAAAATTAAAAACATTTTAAATTTAACACCCTGTATCTTTTTAATGAAGAGTCCTAGATAAAAACTTTATACGAAAGACCCCTTAAAATTCATCAAAGTATGCGAGGTTTCATTTTTGGAAACAAAATTAAAAAATTATTCAGGGCAACTAATTTTTAAATGTGGTTATTTCCTTATGTTATTTTTTTATTTAAGTATATCATATCAAATGACACAAGTAAGTAATAAATCATTTAGATTTACTGGGTATCTAGTATAAAATTATCCTGTTAAAATAAATTTTAACTTTTTATTTATTTTTTCTAATTACTGAAAACCAAAAATTAGCATTAGCAGCTAAAAATATTTTTACTAGATTTGTAAAAATCATTTTGAGGTTGAAATAAGTAAAATAGATGTAATTTTGTCATTATAACAAAATTCTTAATAATGCCTTAGAAAACAATAAAATTCATGACATCTGGACAAAAATTTGGCAATTTTAGCAGCTCATTTTTATCGGACATACAGGGTTCTTCACGGTAAGAGGCCTATAAAACATTTCAGAGGAACCAAAGACAATATGATTCTGAAATTTTGTTTACGGGGGTTATCAGATATATTCTCTTCAATGAAAATAATGTCATCAACATAGCACTTCCGGTTATACCAGAAGTAGCTGTTAACATCGTTATTTTAAATGAAACCCCCTATATATTATTGCATTATCGACAATATAAATAAAAAATAAGTCATAATTGTTAAAGCTTCCCTGTACCTAAATCTAACCATTTTCTAGATAATCGACATTTTATAAAAATTTTGACAAATGCAAGGGTTTCGAAAATTCCTTATATCTTTCTTTGTTCTGAGAGCTTTCACTTGCTTTTCGTAATACACAAAGAGCATAAGATGCACTACCTTCCGCTATTAAAATTATCTGAAGAAAATTATACTAAGATTCTCATTTTTCACGTTACATTTTGAAAACTTAAAACCGACAAAACTTTTTAAATTCAAATGGAACACCCTGTATTTTTCTGCATCATATTATAGAAAATCAAATTTTCTTTTCAGGTATATAGATATTGTAGGGGTTACAGTTTCAATTTTCTCAGATATTTGCTGTTTACTTACATTTTCAAGATTATTACGTTAAAATACATATCATCAAATGTGCCTTGAAAGGCAAATATTAGTATTGTCATTCAGTATTCTACAAGTATCAAGTACTTTCTGATATTTAAAAAATTTTTTATATCCATGGAACGAACATTCACCTTGAATCAAAATTATTAGCTGTATTTCTATGATTTATTATTTTGCAACTGAAACAGAACAATTAATGATTTCGGTTGGTTTTCTTAGAATTCTTCTCTAATTTTTAATGTTGTAAAAGAATAGCAAAGACAATAAATAAGATAATTTCAAATAACGAATAAATGCATTATTATAATTTTATGATATTTGGAATGAAATTGAGAGGATTACTTTACATTTGAATTTGAAGTTTTGTCGGTTTTAAGTTTTCAAAATGTAACATGAAAAATGAGCCACTTAGTATAATTTTCTTCAGGTAATTTTGATAGCGGAAGGTAGTGCATCTTATGTTCTTAGTGTATTTCAAAAAGCAAGTGAAAGCTCCCAGAACGAAGAAAGATATAAAGAATTTTCAAAACGCTTGCATCTCTCAAATTTTTTGTAAAATAACGATTATCTCGAAAACGGTTAGATTTAGGTACAGAGAAGCTTTAACATTTTTGACCTATTTTTAATTTATCTTGTCGATAATGCTATAATATGTAGGGTGTACCATTTAAAATAACGAAGTTGACAGCTACTTTGAAATGAAAGACACTTGCAACATTGCAAATTTTAGATATATTTTCTTGTAGATGCACTGATTCATATAAATTTCGATATTTTGACGCCCTAGAGTTAGGCAGTCAAGCAGAATATAGCTTCAATGGAAATCAAAAGGGTTACCTTGTGTAAGTCAGTGGCTGCTCCTGGCATTGTGAATAGGTGAGACCCGTGGCTTTTTTACTAGGTGGGCAAGAAAGAAAAAAAGTGCCACAGGCAAAAATTTTTAAATATTTAATGTCCAACACATATGTCAAATTATGCATTGGAAATTTTTAGTTGCATTTACAATATTGTAGGAAACCTTATGTTCACGAGCCGGATTTTCATTTAGATTTTAAGGAATAAATTTCCACGTCATTCATTTTTTATTATGGAGATCTTATTAATAATAATATTAGAACTTTAAAAATTGTATTTCCAATAAAATTAAGTACCTAACAGAAAAAAAAACAGTGATATATTTACCTAATAATTAACAAAATTATTCCTACTTAGTTTATGAATATTAAAAAATATGAAAAAAATATAAAAACAATTTTTCATAAGGTAACCAGCTAACTTATCTATTTACATTAGGGCTGGGACATTTTTTAAATTTCGTATTCGAATAGTTAGTTCAATATTTATTCGAATATTTGAATTATTCGAATATATTCGAATAAATCGAATATTCGAATTATTCGAATATTCAAATTATTCGAATATTCGAATATTCAAATTATTTGAATTATTCGAATTATCCGAATATACAAATTATTTGAATTATTCGAATATTAGAATATTTGCATTATTTGAATAATACAAATAATGCTCGAAATTAGGTTGTACATATGTAGTCAAATATTCGAATTATTCGAATAATAAAGATAATTCAAATATTACACTATTATAAAATGTAGAAAGTTTAAATGTTTTTTAAGAGAGCTGAAATTAGTAAGTATTTTCAAAAAATGAATGGCTAGATATACAGGCTGAACCAAAAAATTTAAGGTTTAATTATTTCAAAGCAATTTTAAAAGGGATCGTTAATATAATTTTTTTTATTTAAGCACCTCTGGAGTAGTTACGTTACACCTCCTTAAAATATAAAATTTTATCCAATTTTTTCCAAACTGTTTGAAATTAACAACTGAAATTTGGCACGTTATTTAGACTGCTGAGGCTCTTCTAAATGAGTATTTTTTATTGTCCTCATCTTTTTGTAAGACGTTGAAATATGAAAAGCTACTAGATATTGATGTGCTAAATCAGATATTTGAAAAGAGACTGTGTGGGCGTATGGGGTCCCAAACTTAATTTTTTTAATCAAAACTTGTACCATTTCTAAAAAAAGTTTCAAAATTCAACAAGCATTAACAAAATCCAATAAAAAATGTGGAGTTAATTTCAACGTCTTATAACAAGACGAAGACAATACAAAATACTCCTCTAGAAGAAGTCTCATCAGTCTAAATATCATGCCAAATTTCATTTGGAAAAAAATAAATAAAACATATTTTTCACCCCTTTTTAAAGGATCGTAACTCCTCCAGGGGCGCTTAAATAAATAAAAAAAAAATTATATGAAGGACCCCTATTAAAATATTTAAATAATGTACCCTCAAATATTTTGCACATAATTTGGGATCACCCTGTAGGATGAAATAGAAAATTATAACTTTGAGTAATGTTTATTTATGTGTACATACAATAGGGGAAACAGTAATATTGTACAATCCTGTCCCGACAATATACTTTATGAAAGTGAAGCGCGAGCCACCGGGGCAGCAGTTCACGTTAAGACAAGTGAAAGCGCAAACGCAGTATGTGTGACGTCATATTCAACTATTTATCTATTCGAATGGTTAAATTATTCGAATAGTTA